AAATATGCCTAAAATCAGTTGAAGGCATGGCTAGAATGTGCTAGAATCAAGGGTCAACAAAGCATGCAAAGAAAGCTAGTGAACCATGATTTACACTATAGCTATATGAAGCACATGAGGGCTCACCAAACCAGTCACAAATAGGAACATGATATGCTAAAATATGCCCAAATAACCACTGAAATGTATCCAATGCGTACAAAAATTATGGCCTCCTTTGGAGGGCCATAAGGTGGATTACTCAACACATACAAGATAGACATGTAAAATGGCAAAACCAACTCTGGAAATCAGTTATGATAGCCCTAAAACTCACTAAAAAGGCCCTGAAATGGGTCAATGAAATATACAATGAAAGGTCCCCTTGAAAGACCTTGAGGAGGATTGCTCCACACATGCATGAGGGACACAAAATATGGCCAAAAGGGCTCTGGACATAGTTCATGCAGGTCACAAAACTCACAAATAGGGGCCTGAAACATGGCTTCAAAACATGCAAATGGGGGCTCCTTTGTAAGGCTAAGAAAGCTAGTAAACAAAACAAGGGGTGAGAGGGTCACCCCTCTATGATTTTAAGGCTCAAAAACACATGTTAGCCACTAAAAATCTGCTGGATTTCAGTGGCTAAAAGGCCAAACCAAGGCCAACACAAATGGTCTAATGCATAGCTCAAAACAAGAGAAAATGAAGCATGCAAGGGGGTAGATGACCCCCAACAGAAAAATTACCTTAAACAAACATGTTTATAAGCTCAAAAAAAAACTTTTTAAAGTTTATGACAAAACCCAAAGATGCTTGCAAGTAAGGCTAAACAATGAAACAAAATAAGGGCCAAAAGAGGGAACTAGTGTCTTATCGTTGTAGAGCCGAGGGCCAGCAGCTTCTGGACCAAAATAGGAACTCTCCAACCTCTGAAAATGAGCTCCTATGTTATTAGGTTGATAATGGAGGTGTTGTGCTTGGAGGTGTAGTGCAATGGGACGAAGAACAAGGGTTTTTGGAGCTTGGAATATAGAGATATGGAGGGAAAGTGTATGTATGCTCAAAACAGGTTCTGAACCCTAGCAATGGAAGAGGGCCCTTTCCTTTATAGAGGAGAAGGCCTAAAGCTTCTCCAAGAAGCTTAAAAGCTAGCTTAAACATCCTCCATACACGTGTATGGAGGATGCATTCTGAGGCTTCCAGCTGGCACAGCTGGCTTCAACTCATTGAGACAAGAAAGGAGAAAGCTAGCCGACCAGTTCAGGTGGTCAGCCGACCACTTTCCTTGGTTGGCCGACCAGGTCAAAAGGTTCAGGTGGTCGGCCGACCACCTTTTCTGGTCGGCCTGTTACTTTTTTGGTTTTTCAGGACAAAAAATGGTCTGCCGGAAAGAAAGGTGGTCGGCCAGTGATTGGGAATTTTAAAAGTGGTCATCCAGGTGTCCAAATTGAAGCCCCAGAAGTTATCTTTCCAATGGCACCAACCTTGCATCAAAATGCCTCCTGTGAAAAAAGTTATGCCTATTTTGGTGAAGCCGCACAGATTCGGTCCAACCGGAGTGATGCCCTACTTCAATCAACCATATCTCCCCCGTCTGGACTTGGCTTTAGGAGATTCTTGAGTCCAAAATGAAGCCCCAGAAGTAAGCTTTCCAATGGTGGTGGGCTCATAGCTGAAATCCAAGTATGCAAATGAATAGGCATGATTCAGCGAGGACTACTCGTCCCTCGCTTAACGGTTCATGCCCATTTTCTCCCCCAACTGGGTTTCTTCCCCCTTCTCTTCTTTTCTTCAACTCCAAACCCCTAAGTAAGGTGTTTTGAAATATTTTTCAAAGATCTCATCTCTCTTTCATTCATTTCCACTTTTTCCTTGCTCGATTTATCGAAAAGCGCAACATTTAACGAAATGCAAGCGCCGGAACATCGTAGGAACTTTATTTTCAAAACATTTTGAAAGAAAGGGTTTCAAGGTCCAAAATCTTTTGATCAAGATTGTTTTGGTCCAAAAGGGGTGTGAAGTTGAGATTTGACTCTCTCCTTGCCGAAGAAACTGAACCTTTGCCTTGCACACCTTTCTCCACCAAGTAAACCATCAGTAGTGCCCAAGTCTTAAAGGCGGTACAAAATGGGGTGTCTACAAATCATCTTTAAAGAGATGGTGATAAAAAAGGCATACTTCATTGCAGAATACGTAGATGCGTACATGTTAGTATAGCAACAAATATAAAAAATGAACTAGCATGTTGTACAAGTTGGCTTAATGATAAAATTTATGCAAATGGGTCAAATATAGGGGCGTGGTAAACTTTTGCCAGCCATGTCTAAAAGTCGATATGCCCCCGTTCTGGCAATCGAATCAATCTGGTAAGGACCATCCCAGTTGGGGCCTAATTTACTGTCTGCTAGATTCTTAGCAGTAGGAAGCACTTTCTTGAGGACCAGTTCTCCAGGTGTATAACAACGCAATTGCAGGTGCTGGTTATATGACTTGGCGACCTGCTACTGATACTGTGCCATGTTCACAAGAGCATGATCTCAGCGTTCTTCAATCAAAGTCAAATCCAAGGCCAAAATCATGTCATTACGCCCCGTGTCAAAAACCTTGGATTTCAGTGTGGGCAGGCCGATTTCAAGAGGGATAATAGCCTGTGTCCCAAAGCACAAAGTGAACGATGTTTCTCTAGTAGACCGCCTCGGAGTGGTGCGATGAGCCCAAACCACACTGGGCAACTCTTCGACCCACCTGCCTTTGGCCTTCTCCAATCTTTTCTTGATGCCGTCCAAGATCACTTTATTCGAGGCCCCCGACTGACTGTTGCTTTGCGAGTATGCCGACGAGGAAAAGTATGGCCGGATACTGTATGTATTGTATAACTCCCAATAGACGCCACAATCGAATTGGGTGCCATTGTCGGATGCAAGTGCTTTCGGTATGCCAAATTGAGTTATAATGTTTTTCTATACAAAGCATTTTACATCAACATCTCGAATATGTCTTTATGCCTCTGCTTCGACCCACTTTGTAAAATAGTCTGTTGTGATGATCATGAATCGCTTGTTTCCCGGAGCCTGCGGTAATGGTCTGACGATGTCATGTCCCCATTGAGCGAATGGCCAATGACTAGTAATGGAATTTAATTCTTTGGTAGGCAGATGAGTTAACGGGGAAAACTTTTGGCATTGTTCGCATTTCTTTACATAGTTCTCAACGTCTGTATGCATGGTCGGCCAATAATATCCCTGTGTTACGGCTCGGTGAGCCAATGAGCGTTCTCCAGAGTGAGCACCACAACTACCCGCATGTATTTTAGCCAAGAAGTCCACAACTTTATCTGGGTGAACACATTTGTTTCCCGGAGCCTGCGGTAATGGTCTGACGATGTCAAGTCCCCATTGAGCGAATGGCCAATGACTAGTAATGGAATTTAATTCTTTGGTAGGCAGATGAGTTAACGGGGAAAACTTTTGCATTGTTCGCATTTCTTTACATAGTTCTCAGCGTCTGTATGCATGGTCGGCCAATAATATCCCTTTGTTACGGCTCGGTGAGCCAATGAGCGTTCTCCAGAGACAGCACCGCAACTACCCTTATGTATTTCAGCCAAGAAGTCCTCAACTTTATCTGGGTGAACACATTTCAAATACGGCTCAGAGAGAGATTTTTTGTATAGTTTTCCCTGCAGATACTGACAATATCGCAGGGCTTTATTCTGTAATTTGTGAGCTTCTTTCTTATCTGTTGAGAGCTATTTTAAGGAAAGAAATACAACGATAGGGTCCATCTAACTCAGTCTTGAATTAACGATGTCAATCTGAACTGTTTTAGAAGAAGTGATACTTGGCTCTGGGACGAACCCTACTTCGATGGTTCATTTCACTTCCAAGTTAATGGCGGAAACTAGGCAAGCAAGGGCATCCACATGCGTCTTTCGATCCCGGGTTATCTAATTCACCTTGTGGTGGTCAAATTTCATGAGCAAGGAATTTGCCGTTTTCATGTAGGCTGTCATTCGGTCATTTTTAGCAGCATATTCCCCTTTCAACTGATTGATGTCCCACTTTGAATCACAGAAAACATGTAACCATCATGCACCAAGATGAAGTGCATTTCGAAGGCCGGTTAGCAGTGTTTCGTATTCGGCCTCGTTATATGATGTATCGAAACCCAGTTTGTCTACCAGTTCGATTATTGCCCCTTCAGGGGTCATGATTACTACGCCTGTTCCATTGCCACATTGGTTGGATGATCCGTCACAATACATTTTTAGATGTCTCCAACCTACATTCTCTAGTGAGGTTGTGGTTGTAGTTGGACTTGATCAGACTTGAAGTCAGCATGGCATCCTGTGAACTTAGCTACAAAGTCGACCAAAACCTGCCCCTTAATGGCCATTCTAGGCAAAAACTAGATGTCATACTAGTCGAGTTACAAAGCCCATTTAGAGACTCACCTTAATGTTTTTGCGCTGCAGAGCTCCGCTTGGAGAGGATAGTCCATTATCACCCCTGTGGTATGAGCCTGAAAATAGTGCATCAGCTTTCTGGCAGCCACTACGAGAGCAAGGATAAGTTTTTTCAGTGGTATGTATCATGTTACTCCCCGAGTTCCTCCCTCAATAACACGGCGCTGACCGCCCGGTCGAATATTGCCAGATACAAGAAGAGTGGATCACCTAGCGATGCGGTTGCCAAGGGTGGGACTGAACGGAGATAAGTTTTCAAGCCATCCAGCCTGTCCTGGCATTTCGGTGTCCAGTTAAATGCTTTGCCCTGTCGAAGTGTGTGACAAAATTGTCAGCAGTGATTTGAGAAACGATTGATAAACCTATTGAGGGTGGCGGCCATTCCCATCAACTTCCGAACATCTTTGGCTGACTGAGGGGAGCCGAGTTCTAGAATTTTTGTGATCTGCTTTAGGTTGGCCTCTATTCTGCGATGGTTCACAATGTAGTCGAGAAATTTTCCAGATTCGATGCCAAATATGCATTTCGAGGCATTCAGTTTCATCTTGTACTTTTAGAGAATGCCAAAGGTCTCTGATAAGTTGGCTAAATGGGCATGCTTTTCCTTAGATTTCACCACCATGTCATCGATGTATACTTCCATGGTGCGGCTGAGTTGTTCCTTAAACATAGTGGTAACTAGCCTCTGGTATGTTGCCCTCGCATTCTTTAGCCCGAACGGCATGACCTTGTAGCAATAGGTTTCCCTTGGGGTGAGGAATGCGGTCTTTTCTTGGTCTTCTGGATGCATGGCAATTTGGTGATAACCCTTGTAGGCGTCCAAGAGGCTTATGCACTGATGATGCGCCATTGCATCCACAAGTTGGTCAATTTTGGGATGAGGAAAACATTCCTTGGGACAAGCCCTATTCAAGTCCGTGAAATCTACACAAACGTGCCAAGAGCCATTTTTCTTCTTTACAACCACGATATTGGACAGCCATGTGGGATAAGTTACTTCACGAATTGCCCTGACATCAAGCAACCTGTCAATTTCATCAATAACGGCTGATGCACGCTGTACAGCAGACCACTGACTTTTTTGAATGATTGGTTTGACTTTTGGATCGATGTTTAAATGGTGCTGGGCCACAACTGGATCCAGCCCCAGCATTTCATATGGTGTCCAGACACATCGATATTGCCGAGTAAAAAGGAAACCAGATCGTGTCTTTCAACTTTGTTCAGGGAAGTGCCGATCATGAAGAACTCGTCAAGGTCCCCATTGATTTCAACCCAATCAAGGTCTTCAGTTGCCTTCTCGCTGGGGGTTTTCCCAATGTCCTCTAGGCTTTCTCGATCTGGTACTTCAATCGAGTTCACTTCCAGTTCCTTTGGCTTTTTTACAGCAGTAATAAGATAGCATGCCTGTGTTGATTTCTGAGGGCCCCGAATTTGCTCAATGCCATATTTAGTTAGAAAGTGGGGTAATTGATTGTAGCTGATTGGAACAACCTACATAGCATATAGCCAAGCTCTTCCCATAATAAGATTGTATAGTGACGACAGTTTGATGACTAGAAATTCCACATCGACTGATTTAGTACCTCGCCTATACTGGTAGTGTGATCTTGCCCAATGGATACTCAGGGTTAGCGTTGAAGCCGAACAATAGGTAATCAGCCGATAACAGATTCGAATAAGTGAAGCCAAGTTTAATGAATGTGTTGTAATACATTATTTCTGAGGTGCTTCCCTGATCGATTAGAACATGTTCGATCATGAATCGGTTCACTCGTACCTCGATGACAAGGGGATCAGCGTGGGGGAGAGTCACTCCATCTAGATCAGTGTCGTCGATGCTAATTTTGCCAGTTTCATGGGGCCGATTTGCTGGTGTGATCGGCTAGGATGGGCTAGGTTGCAATTGAATTGTACGTACTTGGGTTGGCGATAAGAGGTTGTATATTATGTGAATTACGCCAAGTGGGGGTGAATCCAGCCGTAAGGTGATCGTGTTTGGTGGATTGTTCTTTCGGATATGCTGCGCCAGTCGTCCATCTTGCACGAACTCCTCCAAATGGTCCTTTAGTGCATAACAGCTGTCAGTGTCGTGGCCACGGTCCTTCTGATATTCACACCGCCTACCCCTCCTTCTAGTATCAGGGGGCCCTATCATCTTGGACGGCCACTTAAAGAATAGAAGATGCTGGACTTTGGGTAGGATCTTACTGATCGGCTCTGCCAATTTCATATACTTCTGTCTGAATGTCTGGTGCGCCTGCTATCCACTTGATATTGTTCATTCGAACGGTGCGGACACTGCTTGCCTGATCGGCTCAAATAACGCCGGTTGTCTCGTTTAGCCTGATTCCGAGGTTCAGGGCTTCTTGGTGGCATGACGCTTATCGGCTGAACCAAACCAGATGGCGTAGATTTCACAACTTTCTGTCCTGCCCTTACACGGAGGGCATCGTCTAGCACCTTGCAATACTTCTCAACTTTCTTCATTAGTGACCAGATTGTCTTGGGAGGCCGTCTGGTCAGCGAACTTCAGAGGGGACTATTGGGGTGTAGTCCCATTTTAAAGGTTGTAGTGTCCATAGAATCATTGCAGGCATCATCCACCAAGTTGAAACACTCCCAATAGCATGCCGAATACTTACGGAGGGTTTTTTCTGGTTTAATTTGCATCGCCCAGAGAGAGTTAGCATGCTTTAGCTGAACCTCGTTGGTGATGAATCTTGCCTAGAAGGACTTTTGAAGCTGATGAAAGCTCTTTATTGATGCCAGCTCTAATTTGTAATACCATCTGACAGCCAATGGCCCTAGGCTACTTGGAGACATTCGACATATGAGGGCTTTATCATCAGCATGTAACATCATCGCTTGATTGTAATGACTAATATGGTCCGTGGGATCTGACTTTCCTTCGTACAGGGTGAATGTCGGTGCTTTGAACTTTTTAGGCAGTGCAGCCCTTGCAATGCATTGTACGAAAGGGTCGTGCCTATCCTCTTCATTTGAATCATCACTTCCTGCCCCTCGTCTGTGCCATACATACAGACTTTCGTTGGATGAGCTGGATACATCAACTCGCCCCTTCTTTCTGGGTTCCTGAGATGGCGAGTCGGAATCATTGCCACTATCATATTTCCGAAGTCAATGTCATCGATCATTATTCTTATTTCTTGGGAATCGACCCCGGTCATGACGTGTGGCCTGTTGGGATTTGGCTAACTCTTGGGCCAATTCCTTACGTAAGTGCTCGGTCTCAGCCATCATATTTTCCAGACGCTGTTACTTACATGTTATATATAAAGTATGATGGACATATATTGATATTTATAGATACAAGATATTTAAAATTTAACTTTGTAATAATTCTTTCATAATATTAAATATTATTGTTAAAATAAATACAATTTTTTTTTAATATTTTCTTATTTCTTATTAAAGAAGAAAATAGTGATATTGAAGTAAGGGAGATGCAGCTTCACCAATCCATCGTGTGCATTGGAGAATGTTGTTTGATCCCATGAGGCACATTACAACACTTATTTTGACTATTTGAATAGTTTATTTTATTAAATTTTATATGTGAATTTTTTATGAAAAAAAAAAGTCAAATTAATTCAATAATCAAACTATATAATTTAACCATATTTTTCTTCAAGAAAATAAACATTTGTGGATGATTTATCCATAAAATTTAATAAAATAAATAACTTAAATCATTAAAACAAAAATCCACACAACCCAACAACACTCTCCATACAATATACTATAAACAAATTTGACCCTAAGTTAATACCCTATTGTTTTACATTTTATCAAATTAGCACATCAACTTAACAAAAGATAAACTATTAACTCTTTAACTAATATCAAAATTTTAAAATATAATTTCTCATTATTGTTTAAGTATATGTATAATAACCAAACCAAATCTTAAGTCCCATAAAATGAAATTGGCTACATAAATCATTCTTCTCCATTTGGCTCTATCAAATGCTATTTGGTTAATTCAATTAAGAAAGTTCATGTCTTTATTTACTATACTATCCCATGTCAATTTAGGTTTACCCCTTCCCCTAACATTTTCATCTACCGTAACTTTATCATATCTCCTTACTATTACCTCTATTGGTGTTCATTGTATATGACCAAACTATCTCAATCTATTCTTTCTCAACTTATCTTTTATTAGTGATACTCCTACCCAATGATAGACACGGGGAGGGGGGGGCATTCGCCTCTCCTATGATTTCAAAAACACCATTTATTATAGTAGTGTTAACTATAATTATTTACATATTATAGAGACTTGCCCCCACTACATTTTTCTTCTTTCGGAAAAATTTTAAGTAGTTGTAACTCTATATGTATGAAACATAAGATCAAAATGTAATTTTAAAAAAATAGACTAAAAAAATATGAAATAAAAATTGTTTCTTATAACCATTGTTAATTATAAGTTCAAATTTCTAAAGAATCAAATAAGGTATTACATAATTACTTAATCATGTTCATTGAGAAAGACATTATATAAGATTTTAATATCAGTTCTATCATAGACATTTTAACGACATAAACTAATATTGAGCACAATAATTTCAAGATGCCTCACTTTAATATATAAATTGTTTTATGGGTGCTATTTTTTGCAACTAAATGTGACTACAAAAAACATGTGATTTATATATATTTTCACCTTATTTTCACTTTTTATAGTAGTAGAAATTGATAATATAATTCATATTTTCTTTTTAAAAATTTTGTTAGTATATATATGTTCACCTTCTATCTAAAAATCCTAAGTTCATCTCTGTTCTTATCCATTGATGAATATATTCATTTCTAACTCTATCTTTTCTAATCTTACCACGCATCCACTTTAGCATCCTCATCTCAGTAACACTCATCTTATCTACATGTTGTTTTTTTTTTGCGCAACATTTTGTCCCATTCAATAACGCTGGTCTAATAACCGTTCTATAGAACTTTCTTTTTAGTCTAATGCGTGTTCGTTTATCACACAATAGCTTAAACACACTCCTCCACTTAAGGTAGCCCGTCTTAATTTTTTTAAATTTTATCATATTACTATAACATGTATTTTTAAATGTTTACTTTAAAAAATTCACAAAAACACTAAAAGATCTTTTGTACATCTTTTAGAGCATTGATTGGCTTTTAATAAGATAACTTCATCATTCTCAGGATATAATTTTTAGTGGATTGTTTTCAGTTTAGAATTTGAATTAGGGCTGTTTTGGCAACAAGTCAAAAAAGTTAAAAGTCAGCTTTTAATTCATTTAAGGTTACATCACTTCTTACATGAAACAGTGAAAAAAAAAATAAAAAACAAAAAAGCCAACTTTTAACCATCTTCCCAAAACACCCCTTAAAATGCGTTGTTTGAAACCGTGGGATAGTAAATTTTATTTTGATGATTCAAATTATTAACTTTAAAAATTACTATGTATGTATTATAAAGGGATTTTTATTGATAAGTCCAATTTAGAAGTGTTTTAACCCAAGAAGTCCATGAAGGAATTTTTTAACCAATTTAGTCCCATGTATGTATAGTTTTATTCCATAAAGTCCATTTTCTTAATTTACACTATTTTCTTGGACACTTATGCCCTTATATTCAATTTTGATACCTTTATAAATATTTTTTGAATAATTAGCAATTTAATGATGTGAACATTTATATTTTAAAATTCACATTGGTAGGAATGTAAAATTGGCCCGTGGGCGGCCAGAAACCTGCCCGCGAGCCGGGGCAGGCCCGGCCCATTGACAATGTGAATATTCACATTGACATATTAACATTCACATTAATAGGAGTGTAAAATTGGCCCGCGTCCCGTGGTGACGCGAAACCCGCTCGTGGCCCATGGGTGGCCCGGGGCGGGCCCGGTCCGGCCCATTGACAATGTGAATATTCACATTGGCATGTTAACATTCACATTGATAAGAGTATAAAATTGGCTCGCGGCCCATAGGTGGCCAAAAGCCCGCCCGCGGCCCGGCCCGTTGACAATGTGAATATTCACATTGACATGTTAACATTCACATTGATAGGAGTGTGAAATTAACCCGCGCCTCGTGGCTGCCCGAAACCCACCTACGGCCCGTGGGCAGCCTGGGGCGGGCCCGGCCCGGCCTGTTGATAATGTGAATATTCACATTTACATGTTAACATTCACATTGATAAGAGTATAAAATTGGCCAGCAGCCTAGGGCGGGCCTGACCCGGCCCGGCTCGTTGACAATGTGAATATTCGCATTGACATGTTAACATTCACATTAATAGAAGTGTAAAATTGGCCTCCATCCCATGGCCGCGCGAAACCCACCCGAGGTCCATGGGTGGCCCGGGCGCGGGCCTGGTCCGGCCCGTTGACAATGTGAATATTCACATTGACATGTTAACATTCACATTGATAAGAGTATAAAATTAGCCCGCGACCCATGGGCGGCCAAAAGCCCGCTCGCGGCCTGGGGCGGGCCCAACCTGGCCCGTTGACAATGTGAATATTCACATTGACATGTTAACATTTACATTGATAAGAGTGTAAAATTGGCCCGCAGCCCGTCGGCGGCCCGAAGCCCGACCAAAGCCCGAGGCGGGCTTGGCTCGACCCGTGACAATGTGAATATTCACATTGACATGTTAACATTCACATTGATAGGATTGTAAAATTAGCCCGCGCCCTATGGCTGCCCGAAATCCACCCACGGCCCGTGGGCGGCCCGGGGCGGGCCCGGCCCGGCCTGTTGACAATGTGAATATTCACATTGACATATTAACATTCACATTGATAAGAGTGTAAAATTGGCCCGTGACCCAAGGGCAGCCCGAAGCCCGATCTCGGGCCGGGACGGGCCCAGCCCGTTGGCAATGTGAATATTCACGTTGACATGTTAACATTTACACTGATAGGAGTGTAAAATTGGCCCACAGCCCGTGGGCGGCCCGAAGCCAGATTGCAGACCGAGGCAGGCTTGGCCCGACCCATGACAATGTGAATATTCACATTGACATGTTAACATTGACATTGATAGGAGTATAAAATTTGTCGGCTGCCCGAAGCTCGCCCGCGGCCCGGGGTAGGCCTGGACCCAAACCCGGGCCGTCCATGGGACGTGAGTCAATTTTACACTCTT